TACTAATTAGGTGACTTCTGAAGGCAATTGGTTCCACTAGATTTTAGTTAGGGGTATCAGAGTAAAGGGGGCTGAAACATATGCACGCCACACTTTTCAAAAATGTATTTGTAAAAAATTTTGAAAAACACATTTATCATTTCCCTTCATTTCACAATTATGTGCCACTTTGTGTTGGTCTATAACATAAAATCCCAATAAAATACATTTACGTTTTTTGGTTGTAACATGACAAAATGTGGAAAATTTCAAGGGGTATGAATACTTTTTAAAGGCACTGTATTTCTTATAGATTGCATTATATGCACAAGTGTTTTTTAGGGTTAGTGCTATTTTTTTCAGTCGGTTACATTTTTCAGAAGCATACAGTGAAGTTTAAAACATCATCCTTCTGAATAATTCATATCTATAATAAAGGAAATATATTTGGCACTTTTTGTGGTGAGCACAGTGTTTTTCATTTATTAATATTTACCATTAGCTATCAGGTTTATCGGGCAGGCTGACAATATTGCTAATGGCAAGGCATGTGCTTAGCATCATCAATGCACAACAGGAATGTGCTCTTAATCATAGGTACTCTGGGTGAAAAAAATTTGCAATTCATTTCCAAAAAATTCTTTGCTTAAGAAAATCTGTTTACAGTGAGGTGTGATGTGCTGTTTTATATACTAAAATCATAAAAGTATGAATATGTCTATAGAAGAAAACACTGATTTCTAATCGTACAAATTGTACTATTGAAAATCAATGGGCACCTTCTTATGCATTTAAATCAAAGGTCTACTTTCAAACTATTAAAGACAAATGTGAGGACATAATGCCTGCAGGCCACCAATTCCCAGTTTGGCTTCACTTACATCTTCAATCTCTTCTTCATTCAAAGTCACTCAGCAGCAATCTCTCACTCCTTATTGATTAATTTATTGAAGCTAAAGTATGCTTAATCTAGGTGTTCATCTTGTCTAAAGCTTTCGAGGACCACAAGAGCAATCAGAGAAAGGAGCACAGCAGAAAATACAAAAAACCAGACAGGTGATTAATATGGTTTATGGTGGTGAATAGGAATCAACAGTGTAAGGTTAAAAATAGGCCAAACACATCATCATATGTTATACTGTATAATTAAAGAATATCTAAACCCTAGAACAAACATTTATTTTATTGCAGCTTAAGTGTAACACAAGTGTAACAAGGCTATGTGTGCCCACAAACCTATGTAAAAAATTGCAGCTTACCATTCCTTAAATGTGGCAGTTACATCAGTTTTCATTTTTTAGGATGAGAACATTTTTAGCAAGTATAGGAAATACCGGACATTTAGTGTCCTCGTAACTTTCTGAGGGCTGAAATGAAAGCACAAACAATGATATCCTCCTTGCAAGTTACCCTCTGTTAATTACTAATCCCTCACCCCCCATGTAATGAAGATGAAGAGAGACATGTTTGAAGTCCAAACAATGAGTGAGCACTGGCACCCTAGGACAGGATAACCAGGCAAAAATAACAAACAGAACCGATTGGATTTTAGGATCAATTACACACTGCTACTTGAGCCCCAAAAATAAAATTAAAAAAGTGAACGTATCTGTTCTTCAAGGCGAACATGAACTGTGGAAGATGCCTATAAACTAGCTCTTTTGAAAAATAGGTACCATAAGTTGGCAGAATATGGTCGTCTCGTGACCAACTTTCTCTGAGGAGCCCATGTAAATACTAACACAACAATGCTCACTTCGAACAAAGCAACACATGGTGTCTGCACAACCCATCATGAGACCCAGAAACCCAAAAGACTGAGGATATCTAGTGGTGGAAAATAATTACTTTGTGGGACTGTATTGGAGAGAAGGTGAGTACCGCATCCAGAGCTTTTTTTAAATCATGCTTGCCATTTTTGTATTGTCCCGAGTTGTCCTATGTGATGTTCACAAAAAAAAGACACCATGATCAATCTATTTCCAGTCTTGGATAAAAGTTTGGAAAACTTGTTCTGGGTATAAATCTATCAAGGCTGTTTGATATATCTTGGATTCTAAGAAGGTATCAGTGTTTATTGACCATGTTATTAACCACTTTAGTACCGCACTATAGCCAAACGATGGCTACAGCGTGGCTCTCTTGTTCTTGGAGAGCACCCATGGACGCAGCTTATCACAGATTGAGGTAATGGACCAATGACAGAGGCCCTTTACTATGTGATCAGCTGTGTCTAATCACAGCTGATCACATATAAACAGACTTGGTGATTATCGTCAGTCTTTCCCTTACGTGCTGTGTCTGTGTGAGGAAAGGACAGACATTACCTGGCAAGGCTGTCAGTACATGGTGTACACTGATAATCAGTGCCCTGATTATCAGTGCAGACTCATCAGTGCCCATAAATTCAGCTTATAATTGTCCATCAGTGTCCACCTCAGTGCCACTGATCAGTGCCCATCAGTGCAGCCTCATCAGTGCCCATCAGTACAGCCTCATCAGTGCAGTCTATCAGAACCCATTGGTGCAGCCTATCAGCGCCCATCAGTACAGCCTATCAGTGCCCATCAGTACAGCTTATCAGTGCCCATCAGTACAGCCTATCAGTGCACATCAGTGAAGAAAAAATAACTTATTTGCAAAATGTTTTTAACAGAAATTAAGAAAAAAATTTTTTTTTCACAATTTTCAGTCTTTTTTCCTTGCTTGGCAAAAAAAAAAAAAAAAAAAAAAAGACAGTGGGGATCAAATACCACCAAAAGAAAACTCTCTCTCAAAAAAACTGTTAAGAATTTTATATGGGTACAGTGTTGTATTATCACACAATTTTCATTCAAAGTGTGACAGCACTGGAAGCTGAAAATTGGCCTAGGCACTAAGGTGGTGAAAGTGCCCAGTATTGAAGTGGTTAAAATCTTTATCTTAAAAGACACACATTTTTTAAAATGCAAGAATAGTAAGTGCCTGCATTTGACTTGATACCAGCCTCTTTCAATCCAATGTATAGCAGAGTTCTATGGTAGGGGAAAGGAGCATAAAAAGCAAATCAGTTGTGCTGCAGTGCAAAGAGCATGCCAATAGGAGGAGAGAGCAAAGTGCCAAAAAATTGCTATTCAGTATGCTGTTTTTTATCTCACAGCTGTGGGAGGCACAAGACCTATAAATGTTACTGAACTTCAGCAAAAAAAAAAAAAAATAGCTCACCTTCCCTGCAGACAGAGCTGTGTAGTGTCACTGAGCTGTTAAATCTGAGAACTGGAAGGACAAAAATACAAATCACTTGATAAAACAGTGTGAAGGTCAACTTTAATCAACCTGAGTTTTTATTATTTTCTATTCATAGAGCAAAGGTAATTCATAATTGTACTGCAGTACTCATGGGTATGTGCAATGGACTTCAGATAAGCAAGTGAGGTGAAAAAAGGATCCTAGGAGGACTTGATCGTTTGGAAACAATTCATATTTCCTTGTTTATGCAAAGCTTTACATTTACATCATTAACTCTCAGTTGTGGTCCCCTACATGGAACATTACAATTTCATTATGTCAACGGTGTTCTGGGCAAGATATTGTAATCAGAATCTTGTTAAAACAAATGTTCATGCTGCTTTCATTTAGCAGTTGTGTTGAGACATTGGACAAAACAATGCTTCATTGACTTTTCATTTGTTTTGCAGATCATGAGAAGAATTCAGAACAGCTCATCTTCCATTTCTGACGCACCACATTAGGAGACGGAAGCCATTGTGTCTCCAGCCTAACACGCTTGGGAATGATGCTGAATAATAACTTGAGCATAGCAAAGAATGTGACCGAAATCCACTCTGCAAGCTTAGGCCTGGTTCTAGGGACCATATCATTTTTTACAGTCATCATGAACATTTTTGTGTTGTATGCTGTGAAAATCGAGCGCAAACTTCATACAGTTGGAAATCTGTACATTGTCAGCTTGTCTATTGCAGATCTTATTGTAGGTGTGGCGGTTATGCCTCTTAATATTGTGTATCTCATAAAACATGAGTGGATACTTGGAAGACCAGCATGTCTCTTTTGGTTGTCTATGGACTATGTTGCTAGCACAGCCTCCATCTTTAGCCTTTTTATTCTGTGTATTGATCGTTATCGCTCAATCCAGCAGCCTCTGCAATACTTAAAGTACCGTACAAAGACCCGAGCCTCTGCAATGATATCAGGAGCATGGCTTTTGTCCTTAACTTGGGTCATCCCAATTTTGGGCTGGCATGTGTTTGCCAATGGTGGAGTTCGATCAGTACCAGAGTACATGTGTGAAACAGAGTTCCACAAAGTGACTTGGTTTAAAGTTCTTACAGCCATATTAAATTTTTACATTCCATCTTTGCTAATGTTATGGTTTTATGCCAAAATTTACAAGGCTGTAAGGGAACACTACAAACATCGACAGCTTATCAATGGTTCCTTCCAACTGTTTTATGGCAGTAAGTTTGTTAGAAATGTGAAGGTGCTCAAAAAATCAAAAGATTGTGTGAGGAGACAGTGTCCTAATGGAAATCTTATGGTTCCTGAGACTAAATTTCACAGTCATTACACCACAGTTTCTAATGTTTTTACACAACAAAAGACCTCTCGAGAACATTTCCAAATCGAAGAATATGAAGGTCAACAGCGATATGATCCTTGTGACAATAAGGTTGTTAAGTTGCACTGTTTTCCTCTTGCTATATTAAAGGCCCACCCAGAGGAGTGCCGAAATTATGTTACAGTCAACAGAAAAAAAACTGAAAGCCCAGTGTCTGGATAACATGGATGTGACAGATGTGTCTGAAGACCATACATTTGCGGAGGCAGGTTCTTGTATCTTAGAGACAAGTCAGGTGGAAGAAAACAACATAGAGAATGCTGAGGTATCTGAACCCCAAGTCTCTGGGAACCTTAGTTATTTGAAACATACTTGGCAGAGGTTCCGTACACATTCCAAACAGAACATCCAAGGACTTCATATGAACAGGGAGAGAAAAGCCGCTAAGCAATTGGGTTTCATTATGGCAGCATTTATGTTGTGTTGGATCCCATACTTTGTGCTTTTTATGGTCATAGCATTTTGCCAAGACTGCTTTAACCACAATTTTCACATGTTTACTATTTGGCTGGGTTACATCAATTCAACCCTGAACCCTCTGATCTATCCCTTGTGTAATGAGAATTTCAAAAAGACATTTAAAAAGATATTTCATGTTAAGTTAAACTGTGGTATTTGCGAAAAGGAAAAGTTTACAATGTGCAGCTATAAATGAACTTGAGGAAAATGAAAAAATATCAGATTTCAGTATTATTATTCAGTGTTTTACAGGTGATTTTCATTTTCAGAACAAAATATGTAATTCACCTTCAAACAGGTATTAATGTCCAGCAGCTATCTGCTCCAACCAACCCAAATAGCAGAACCAACTGCAGCGCTCTCAAAGCACTTATAGCTGGTAGGCCTTTAGCTGATAATTGCAACAGAAAAACAAGTCTCAGAAGAAAATTGTTGTAAAATTTTCAAAAAAGTCAAAATTTTATTGGTGTCAAATGCTTCAGGGGTCTTGGAATGGATTTCACGAATGATGGGAACCAAGACCATTGGGCATTATTCCCCTAGTGAAGGTGTTTTCACTCTTCTTCTAACAATGAAAAACTCATACGTCACTGTTTATAGACTGGAACACTGTTTTATGTTCACTGTAAAAACCTTAATATTGTCTTAATATTGTTGGAATTTCATATGGACTACTTGCAGTAAGTTATTGTTACACAATTTAATAAGTCAGTATCTGACATAACCCAGAGACATACAATAAATTGTCCTAAGAAATAATCTCATCAGATTTGTAAAATATTTCACTGAAAGACAATGTTTCCTCTTTAATATGTTGTTAAATGTGACCAGCTTGTAAAGTTTACACTCGTAAGTGTATAGGCATTGGCTTGAAACAATCTGGACAATTTCTCCCTTACACAACTTGCTACTGACAGTGGAGATGATTTTCAGGCTTCCTTCATGACTAATAAGTAAAAAAGATACAATTGCATTTCTTAATGTATGACATCATTGCCTCAATAATTATTTAAAGCAGTAGTAAACAGCATTAAAAAAAAACCCTGCAAGGTAAAGCCATGCAATGCATACTAGCACATTGTGAAGGACCAACCTTGAAACGAAGCCCTCCAGTGGAGCGCTGTCATGGCTCCCCGGGGCTTCCATCTTCACCCAGTCTTCCTTCCGGGTTTGCTAGCTCTGGCCGGCTGACTGGCTGAGCCGGGATGACATCACTCCCATGCATGTGTGCAGGAGTCCTGGGCCACGCCACAGTGCTCTAAAGGAAAGGTACAGGTATACAGTTGCAAGAAAAAGTATGTGAACCCCTTGGGATTACATGGAGTTTTGCATGAATTGGGCATAAAATGTGCTCTGAACGTCATCTAAGTCACAACAATACAAGAACACAGTCTGCTGAACATCATACTACACAAACATTAGATGTTGCCATGGTTTAATTGCACATAACATGTAAACATTCACAGTGCAGGGAGGAAAAAGTATGTGAACCTTTGGACTTAATAACTGGTTGACCCTCCTTTGGCAGCAATAACCTCAACCAAACGTTTCCTGTAGTTGCAGATCAGACCTGCACAACGATCTGGAGTAATTTTGGACCACTCCTCTTCACAAAACTGTTTCAGTGTAGCAATATTCTTGGGATGTTGTCAGGGCAGGAGCTGAGGAACGGACAGGCAGGCCTAAACAATGTAACGCACTGGCTGACGACAACCACCACCCACAGACCGAAGTCCCTCAGGGCGCGGAGTCTAAGTCCTAGGCTGCCCTTCACCAGGGCCCCTGATGGTGGGGATGGACTTGACGCAGCCAGGAACCAGGTCGCGGACCCCGAGACACCTCAGCTGCGGTAATGGCCGCCGCCAATGGCGTGTAGCTGGTGGAAAAGACAATATAGTCAGACAGGCCGGGTCGACAACAATGGGACAAATCGGTACAGGACAGCAGACGAGAATCACAGGTCACGAGCCGGGTTCAGCAACAGAGGGTCAGATCAAAGGAGAAAACAAAGAATAGTCGAGTCACAAGCCGAGTCAGATTCCAAGAGAGTCACGAGAGTCAGAACAGAGTAATAGCAACACAAAGACACAAGACACAAGTGCAAAGAGCATGTGCGGACCACAGGCTTATATGTCATCAGCCACACCCCTCTGGGGGATGGACCTCAGAGACCTGAAGGCATAAAGGATTCCCACCATGCTCATCCAAGATGGATGCCAGCACATGGAGTAACATAACCTCTGGGAAAAGGTAGGACCTTGACAGATGTCTGGTGTGAATCTCTCTCTTAAGGTCATGCCACAGCATTTCAGTCGGGTTGAGGTCAGGACTCTGACTGGGCCACTCCAGAAGGCATATTCTGTGCTGTTGCAGCCATTGTTTTGTTGAATTACTTGTATGCTTTGGGTCATTGTCCTGTTGCATCACCCATCCTCTGCAGAGCTTCAGTTGGTGGACAGATGGTCGTACGTTTTCCTGCAAAATGTCTTGATAAACTCTGGAATTCATTTTCCCATCAATGACAACAATCCGTCCAGGCCCTGAGGCAGCAAAGCAGCCCCAAACCATGATGCTCCCTCCGCCATGTTTTACAGTGGGGATGAGGTTTTGATGTTGGTGTGCTGTGCCTTTTTTTCTCCACACATAGTGTTGTGTGTTCTCTCCCAAACAACTCAATCTTGGTTTCATCTGTCCACAGTATATTTGGCCAGTAGTGCTGTGGAACATCCAGGTGCTCTTTTGCAAACTTCAAACGTGCTGCAATATTCTTTTTGGACAGCAATGGCTTCCTCCGTGGTGTCCTCCCATGTACTCCATTCTTGTTTAATGTTTTCCTTATTGTAGATGTGTCAACAAAAATGTTAGCATGTGCTAGAGATTTCTGTAGGTCTTTAGCTGACACTCTGGGATTCTTCTTAACTCATGCAGCATTCTGCGCTGTGCTCTTGCAGTAATTTGTACAGGACGACGACCACACCTAGGGAGTGTAGCAACAGTGTTAAACTTTCTCCATTTGTAGACAGTCTGTCTTACCGTGGACACATGAACATCAAGGCTTTTGGAGATACTTTTGTAACCCTTTCCAGCTTCATGCAAGTCAACAATTCTTGATCGTAGGTCTTCTGAGAACTCTTTTCTGCGAGGCATGGTTCACATCAGACAGTGCTTCTTGAAACCAGTAAACCCAAAACAGGTGTGTGTTTTTTTAAGGGCAGGACAGCTGTCAGCAACACATCCAATATCATCACACTGATTGGAGTCAAGGTTGACTCACTCCTTGCTCCAATTAGCTCTGGGAGAAGTCATTAAGCTAGGGCCTCACATACTTTTTCCTCCCTGCACTGTGAATGTTTACATGTTATGTGCAATTAAACCATGGCAACATCTAATGTTTGTGTAGTATTATGTTCAGCACCATAGCTGTCAAATAAGTAAAAGAGGAGTGAATCACATGCTTCAACATACCAGAAAATTTCAGGATATTTTCGTTTGGCTCTCCACATCTGAAAGATACAAATATGCAAAGAAAAGATGAGTATGTGCTGTCAAAGAAGAAGTACAAAGCGAACCTAATGCTTTGACATGCACAAGATGCTTTAATGATATTTAGGATATCCACTAAGCGATGTCTGTGTATATAATGGCCAAGTAATCTTCCCCAAAACAATTTTATTGCAGTTTAAACCAACAAGTGGTTATCCACACTTGAGCCACTAATGATATTCAACAAACACTGCAACTATGCTTCAGTCATAAAGTTTACTCACTTTACTTGGAACTGAAGTATCTGCAATCCTCCAACACCAAAGTAATCCACAGTGGCCATATAACATAGCGTACATTATGTTATGGATGGCTGGATGGTAGCTGTAGGGGGAAAATTCACTGGAATCTGCAGTGGGACTCTTTTTGGAACATTTTCTGTGCATTACAAAAATGGTCAGCAAACGTGTATTCCAGATAAATGGTTTTCCAATGAGACAGAGTGGAGTTGATGTCACTATAAAGCTAAATCTGGATAGAAAAAACAGAAGCCCTGAGGATTAGAATGGTTTGCCTGTATGAATCTAAAAGCTAAATTTTTACATTTGCTTGAAATTTACCTTGTAGGTGTTCTTTCTTTTGCAAAGTGCTTACTGGGTATTGTTTCCCATTTCTGTAATTCCTTCTGGTCAATTTTTTACATTCCATGTGTGGTCACAATTCATCATTATGTGATAACCAAACGGAAACCTTAGCATCTATAATACCATTGGTAACTTTCAGTGGTCTGCTTTTATAAGTTGTATTGTCAATCTGCATGGTGTTGTGTAGGGGATAAATAAAGACACATGGTCTTGTTAGGGTGCCAGATACCTGGTTTACCTTTTAGCTGCTCTATCAATGAAAGAAAAGAATGTAATAGTGTGTTAAAGCACCTCAACAATTATCAGATGATGTAACTAATGCTAAAGAAATTTAAACTGTTTTTAATATAAAATGTCCAAGCTAAGTACACTTTCTAGCAATGTGAAATTGGGCTCCTCTGATTACATGTGTGCATGTATTCTTTAAGTGTATGGTAATGTAAGAATAGTAGCTATTAGCAAAGAATGTAGTTCTTGTCTATAGACCACAACTTCCAGGATTTTAAATGAAGTAGCTAAAATCAGGGATAAGTAAGGGGTGGAACATTGGATGTAAACATAGGCAGTACATCATATGAGTGCATGATATGGTTGATGTGTTTGGAGCAAATATCACAAAGAGGTAATCTGCCAAGAACATTTGTTTGGTTTCTGTAATAGTGAGCCCTTGTAGACCATCAACTCGGGGTTCTCCAGGACGTGGAGTCTAAGCACCAACCTGCTTCTTCACCAGGGCTCCTGATGGTGGGGATGGACTTTCAGCAAGCTGGAATCAAGTCGCGGTGCCCAGGTATGCCCAGCTTAGGATGTGGAGACCACTTACGTGTGCAGAGTGCATATGGCAGGAGACAGAAGGAAATCCAGGAAACAAGCCAAGGTCAGGACAAGCAGCAAGGCAAGCACAGACGGTAGACAAAACCGGGGGGGTGATACATGGGAAGTCAGGCACTGAATACATGAATAGTAAGAACACAGGAGCTCAGAGAACTGGAATGTTGCTCAGGCAAAGTGGACTACAATGAGCACATCTTATATAGGGAAGCAAACTGGGAGGTGGGCCAGAAAGTGA